TGCAGCATGAGACAGGAGACATGGGATGTGAGTCTGGAAACAGATTCATGTTTACAGAAGCAGCATGAGACAGGAGACGTGGGAGTTAATCAGTTACATGTTGGTTATTTTTGGAGTGGGCGTTGTGTGAAGCGTGGGTTAGAATACATGTTGGTTATTTTTGGAGAGAGACCGGGTGTTGTGTGAAAACGTGGGTTAGAAGTAGTTTATTTTTGTATTTTTGTATTGTGAAACGTGAGCATAAACGTTGTTAATAAAAAAAACCTTATATTACTGTTCATTATAACTTTTTGATTGTTCTCCTTTGGTTAAGAAGTAGTTGATACGTAATCATCGTCAAGAAATTTGAGGGTATTTCTCTAATTTAAATCTGATGGGATTTTTTCACAGCTGAGTATATTTGTTCTCACCGACCCTTACCAGCGTAAAACCGGGTCGGATACTTCGAAACCGATTCGGAAAAGAGAGGCGTGCAGCGAAAGAAAAGGGAAGCGTGGGATAAGGTTACCGCCCTCTTCCCTCTATAAATACACAGCAAAGGTGTCGCGGTTCTCGTGAAATCTCGCGCTAGGGTTTCTGATCTCAAAAGGTAAAAAAGGCTGTTTTATTTCTTAGCTAATTAGTTGAAAGTTACGATCTTGTCTGTTTTCGTGGTTGATCTATTTGTGGATCTGGGTTATTTATGGTAGAAAAATCTGTTCTTTTTATGGTAGATATGGTTGATTTCTTGTTAATTAGGTGCTGCTGCTCGATATCTGGGGGAACCGTTTGATGTTAAGATTAGTTAGGCGGCGTAGAAAATAGATCATATATACATTTTTTTTCAGTTTTGTTTTTGAAAATCCAATATAAAGAAATACAACTGTTTACATCTGGGGAGCCGTTTGATGTTAAGGGGGTGTTTGGTTGCATTGTTTTTGAGAAATGTTTTCTCAAAAGTACTGACGCATGGCATTTATGTAATTAAGAGTTTTCTATACATTTCTATAAACTGTGTTTGGCTCCAAAAAAATTTACAGAAATGTTTTCTGTAAAGTACAGAAAAGTACCAAATTTTATGGAAATTGATTTCCTTCTAAAATGGGAGGAAATCTCTTGGAAATCTGACGCATTCATTATTTAAATAATAAAACTCATTAACTCTTTTCTACAAAGTTCTCACTTTTCTATAAAGTTGGTGGTGTTTGGTTACATTTCTATAAATTATAGGAAATGTTGCTATTTTCCCAAAAGTTATTTCTTATTTTCTTATTTTGAACCAAACAAGCACAATACAAAAAATAAGAAAATTTGTACTTTTTAACTTCTCAAAACTTTTCCTATAATTTTTTTAAGAAATACAAGGAAATTAAATTTGGAATGGAAAACATTTCCTATAATTTATAGAAATGTAACCAAATACCCCTTAAGATTATCGCCCTCGTCTCGTACACACACGGCTAGCTCTACAGGGAAACAGTTAAATCTCTTTTAAGGCTCACGGCCCAGCTTTGGCCCAATTATAAGCCCATTCAATCTTAATGAGTTCGGTTCGCAGGTTCTTTCAAAAAGGCCACAAAAGGGATATGCACTGGATCTCCCAGGTCCAGAGATCGGAAGCCATGGACGCCAACGAGAAGCAGAAGAAGAGAGATCAGCGAAACCCTAAGCAGCCGAATCGGAGGCATGGATCGACGAAGTTCTTCGTAACGGTGGACTGCTTGTTCCTCTTCATCTTCTTCTGCTTCCTCTGCTATCTCCTCCTCGGTATCTTGTCTGGATCTGCTCTGTTGTCATCGTAAAAGTCTCAACTTTGGTGACGGTTCTTTCTTCTGTCTCTTTATTATTTCATTTATGAGATTACGGGTTATATGGAATATGGGGGGGGGGGGGGGGGGGGGCGGGTGGGGGGGGGGGGAGATTGCATCTTTGAGTAATATTGATATTGTATCGTTTGATTTAGGTAAAATAAAGCCATAATTGTATCGCAACGTTTGTTCTTTTTCTTATTAAACATCTCCGGTATCGTATTACCAATATGATATCATACTTTTGTTGCTCTATTTCGTATCTATGTTCGATTTTGGCGGATGCGGAGTATGGTAAGTATCATATCCGATCCGTATCATATCCGTTTGTGCCCCTACTTTGTCAAGGCATTATTTGGTTTATGGAATATGTCGTTGTCGCGAAATGTGTAAGCTAGAAAGTTAATTGCATCAACGTCTTGGTGCAAGTTTCTTTGCTAGCTAAGTGTTTGTTAGTAGAAACCTGAAAGGGTTATGTCGCGTATACTCAAGGCAAAAGAGAGGTTGTTTTTCATTATTACTAGTGAGGATTTCACATAAACAAAGAGGAAATAGAATATCGGGAGAAACTTGCATTGGAGTTTAAGTGTTAGAATGATAACTTTAACATCTTTTGGTGTAAATTTACTCACCAAAAAGAATAATATCAACGAGGTAAAATGCTATTAGGGGTATAACTTGAGTTGTGGGTTTTTTGACAATGAAATGTGCCCATGAAGAGGTGTAACTATTGATACTTGCATACTTCTACCTACAGTGTTTGGCGTAATGCGCTCGTTAAATGAATTGGTGATATTGACTGTTTGTATCTAGCACTACTATATGCATGAAACTTCATCTATCTATTACATTTCGCCATCTCTGTTGATGAAAAATAAGATGTCAACAATATTATCACACTACTTCTAGAATGAACTATAAAAACTTTGCCAGTTATGTCCTAGGCATTATTAGGGCTCTAGATCATAATCCACAGCCAATTAGTATACTTCTCTTGCATTTTTCGTCAGCAAACTTTGTTCTTGTTTCCTTTCACATCTATGTTCCTACGTTTTTACTAGCTACATGTAGTTGTTTTTCAACGGTGAGCTTTTAGTTCAATCCTCAAAGTAGAACCAATTAAAATCTTCTTTGTTTCAACAATAAAATAGCGACTTGTTTGGAATTACTAATATGGGACCACACTTCGAAGTCTTCCGTGCCTAAGTAAATTTTAATATTTATGCCTTACTATTACCTCAGGATTTTATTTATTTATTTTTTTAAGGTTGTGCACCAAGAATATGTCATTTTTCGGTTAAGTTGAAAGAGAGCAGGAGAGCAGGACCAAGAAACCGCGAAAGGATTTTATTGTTTTTATTGGTTTGAAAGAGTTGGTTGGCTTCTTATGTTTTGAGGAATGAGAGGTTTAACCTTCATATATTTTGTCATTTTGCTGTAAGGTTGAGAAACACTGAGCTATATCAATGTGATACTTTATTGGTAAGTTGCTCAGTTTGTGAAAAGCATCTTCTCATGAGAATGTTAGACTCTAGGCTGCTCCTTTTATGGAAACATTTCCCAGTATCAGGTTATTGGTAACTTGCCCAGTTTGTGAAAAACATTTTCTCATGAGAATGTTAAGACTCTAGGCTGCTCCGTTTATGGAAACATTTCCCAGTATCACACTGATATAGTTCAGTGTTTCTCAACCTTACACCAAAATGACAAGATACATGAAGGTTAAACCTCTCATTCCTCAAAACATAAGAAGCCAACCAACTCTTTCAAACCAATGAAAACAATAAAATCATTATGTGTTTTCTTGGTCCTGCTCTCCTGCTCTCTTTCAACTTTAATCGAAGAATGACATATTCTTGGTGCACAACCTTTAAAAAAAAAAGATCCTGAGGTAATAGTAAGGCATAAATATTAAAATTTACTTAGGCACGGAAGACTTCAAAGGGTGGTCCCATATCAGTAATTCTAGACATGTCGCTATTTATTATTGTTGAAACAACGAAGATTTTAATTATTTGAAATGTACGACTTAAAATTCTTTTTTATTCCTCTTTCCTAATTTAGTCCGATAACTTGTACGAGTAGTAAACATTCCAAAGCAATTGCCATCAAACTTTTCTTTTACTTTTGATTAAATATTTTATCTAGCATTCATTTATTAAATTTCTCATGTTTAAATTGGAATTTGAATTTTAATCATCATGCAAACTTCTTTGCAGATTATATGCAGTATGAGGAAGCATATTCTTCTTGGTGGTGCTAAACGCATCCCCTTCACTTTGCCTTCCCATGTGTTTTGAGCCCTGAAGGTTTGTGTATTATCTTTTGCTATGTGAAATTCTTTTGCTATGCAGATATTTGATGACTTAAAATTTATGCAATGGAAAATAAGCAGTCCATGTCTTAATGTGGTCAATACTTAATACCATGGTTGACACCGTATTCCCACTTTTATTAATCCCGTGGTACTAGGATATAAAGACCCAAAGATTGGGTTTAGCTCTAAACTAACCTCATAGAGGCATATTGAGCCCTGTTTAGATGGCTTACTTATCTCTAATTTATACTGATATATTGACCATGCATATGTTTTAAGAAAAAATGAACAAAATTCATATAATCGAATACTTTATAAAGAATTGCCAAAGGCCAACCAGTAGTTAAATTAAGCAATCACAAATGCATCTCAACTTATTACTATATGATAAGACATGATTGTCAACAAATAAATAAGTATACACTTGTACCAAAATATCTGCATGCATCACAAAATACAATCTAACTAACAATTGATATATCAGTAAATCATACAAAATAATATAATCTATTCGGAACAAATCCACATATACTTGATATAACTTTATATGAAAAATATGCATCCCAACATGCATAAATTAATCAATTAACTGAAATCCACAAGAAAACCAAATTCCACTCACGATCCCTCTACGAAAGATCTAGGTACCCCTAAAGAATACATATAATAACCATTAATACAACGGTACCAAATAATATAACACATATTAAGCTCCATCCTATAAAACCATATTATATACCAATACTTTAGTACCCTAGATGCTTCAATGTTTTCCTCTTACAGAAAAGACAAAAGGCCTGCAATGATACAGAAATACTGGGTACATGTGGACAACCATGCTTGTTAATTTATTTTTATAAAAAAATTATAAAAGAGATGATCAAGGGATGCACCAGGCTGAAGACTTATCCATGTCCATGAGAACAAAGTTTGACATACGAAGTCAAGGTGTACCATCGTTTGGATAAAAAAATAACCTAAATTAACTTAGACATAGGATTTTAGTAAAAAAAGCAAGAGAGAGATATATCAGTAGAGAATGGGGATGTGGGTTCACCTTATTCGCTGTGTAAGCTTGATTAATCAATCTGTGCTCCTCTCCAATAAATATGCAATCTCTTTCCTCTTCTTCTTCTTCTTCTTTTTTTTAGGTTTCCTTCTCTTGCCAATTTCCATCTTTCCTTTCTTTTTGTTTTTTTCTTTTTTGGCTGCGGATTCTCAAACGGACGTGCAGGTAGGGTTTTCATTCCTCTCTCTTATTCGGAATACACTTCCAATGAACCCATTAACAAATATCCCATTGCAACAAGCCCTTTAATAAACATAAATAATAAATATGTGACTATATATAGTTATTATTCTTCCTTTTCATAAATTAACGTCCTTTACAAACTTATCTTTATAAATTAATATTGTTAACTCAATTTCTTGGATATCTATTTAAACAAATAATAACTTAGACTTATTATCACTAGAAAATTAGGGATATTACAATCACGTCACATGATATAATTCAAGGCAATGTACATAATATCTCTCAGCAAGCAACATTTCTGCACCTGTTGATGCATTCTCTAGCTTGCGAACCATACTCTTTAGCTTCTTGCAATCAATTAAGGCCCAGTTTTGCTGTTATTCAAGACGAGATTATATCAGCAACCGTGTAAACGTTAAACAACTTAACTTAATTACCAAATAAAATAAAATTAAAAAGACTCAAAACATGATATACCACTGAACTTACCAGCTGATTTCAAAGCGCGAAAGAATACTTGCATCCTCCCATTCCATCGCTTTGAACCATTCAACTTACCAGCTGATTTCAAAGCGCGAAAGAATACTTGCATCCTCCCATTCCATCGCTTTGAACCATTCAACATCATCGTCGTCTCCCATGTGTATCTTCTTCAGCTTAGGTGCACTCTTGCTTCCAATGGGAAACATCTTCATGTTTGGACAAAACTCCAACCTCACAAACTCAACCAAAGGCCAATCGAAACAACGACCTGCTATTTCCCCTCGATAAAATCTCCCCAACGTTGGAAGATCTACAAGCACAACCTCCTTCAATCGAGGAAACAAGCTTTTGTTCACCACAACACCATCTTCACCTTCAATTATCACCTCCATCGCATAATTTTTCTTCACTGTAAGTCTCTCTAGGTTTTTTAACTCTATAGCCAAGCTCGACAATAACAGATACTTCAAGCTTGCACAACTTCCAACCTCAAGCTCTTTCAAATTTACAAAGGCCCCTGTAATTTGTGGGAGCAAGAATTGAAGTTTGTTACTGCCAGATACTTGCAGACTACTTAGTTTCCGAAGGCTCCCATTTGGTACATTTCCACTGAAGAGTCTTATGAGATTTTGCAAGGAAGTTAATTGCAGTCTTTCAAGCTTTGGCAATATGGGAATCCCTTGTGTGAACCCCTCAGAGTTGAATATCTCGATCACTTCAGTGCAAGAATTCACAGAGACGACTTGTAGAACGTAATGACATCTTTGCAGCAAATTATAAGGCATTATGCACACCACTTTCTTGCATCGAATTATCTCCAAGACTCTCATTTTCTTGAACGATAAAGATGGAATCTCCCCTTGACATATTGTTTTCAAACTCTCTAAGTTTGCGAGGTTTAGGTGCTCCAAGTTCTCGAAGGCATTTGGAGAAAATTCTGGTTTTGAGGTGTCAAGCAGGTTTTCTATGGTACCACAGTTCACAAGCCGAAGTTTCTTCACATTGACAAAATCACCTCGATCGCAGTTGCAGCTGTCTAAGATCAAATCTTCTGCTTCCGTCAACAGTATCTTTGTCCAATTCCCTGCTCGATCCACATTTTTAAGAAACAGATTCTTCTGATGGATAGTTGCAAGTGAATACCAATCGTATTCACAATAAATCATGAATTTCTTCAAGTTCTTCCAGCCATCAAGGGCTTCGACATCTTGAGAGAAGTACCTGACATCACTTATGTACATCTGTAAGTAGGCCAATCTTTCCAAGTAACCGATATGGAGAAAGAGAGATTCTCTTATATTATAACCTATCATGAACAATTCTTCTAACCGAGATAGCCCCTTTACTAAGGCAAGAGAAGTTGAATATGAAATAACCTATCATGAACAATTCTTCTAACCGAGATAGCCCCTTTACTAAGGCAAGAGAAGTTGAATATGAAATATCCAAGAGTTTCAAATCAGCCAAAGTTCGATAGCCCCTTTACTAAGGCAAGAGAAGTTGAATATGAAATATCCAAGAGTTTCAAATCAGCCAAAGTTTCTATTTCTTCTGGCAAAATGTCAACTTGACATTTCTGCAGACCAAGTATCTTGAGCTTCCTTAGTTTCCCAATCAAAGATAAATCAGTCAATCTCCTACAGCGGTCAAGACGAAGTGATCCTAGATTGGTTAAAAGAGCGAGAGAAGAAGGCAACGACTGAATATTCGTGTCACTTAAATCAAGAACAGCAAGAGATGCCATACCCTGAAAAAAACTACTCGAAATGCCACTCAAAGAAGGATTAGAATTCAATAAAAGGGTGAGTAATTTGGGGCAATTTGGTTGATCTGGAAGGTCCAAAAGATCATTGTTCATCAAAGAAATCCTCTTGCACATCTCCAAAGTTCTGCTCTCAGGCCAATATCTCAAACCTAAGCCAGCCTTAACAAAGAAACAATCATCCCCTTTAGATGCAATATAAACAGCCACATCTCGGACCACATCGTGCATTTTCACTGATCTCTCTCTTTCGGTTTTCAGCAACAAGCAACTCGCTATCAGATCATGCACAATCAAATGTATTTTTCCTCTTGCTTCGTCCAAGCTATATACATCCTTCAAGAAACCTTCACCAACAACGTATCTTGTTAGCTCATCTTCGGTTATTTCATAATCTTCGCGAAATAGGCAACAAAACAAGAACAAGAGTTTCATCTCTTCGTTCTTAATGTAGTTGTAACTCAATTCAAGAGACTTGAACAACTGTTCCTCCACATTCAACAACTCATCAGGAATCGATCTTTTTAACTGCATCAAGCCACTCTCCCACACGCTTTTCTCACTACATCCTCTCAATGCTCGTCCAACGACAACAATTGCTAGTGGCAAGCCTCCACACTCATCGGCGACTTTTCTTGCAACATTTTCAATATCAGGAGAACTACAGATATCGCCTACTTTGCTTTTGAAAAGAGTCCAAGAATCTTCTCTTGTCAGAACATCCACTAAAATCGAAGCATGGCTTTCCATTAGTTGGCAAGCTTGAAGTGTTCTTGTAGTAAACAAAATTTTGCATCCTCTGTGCTCTTCTCCGATTGGGATTCCTATAACTCTCAATTCTAGCCTTGACCAAATATCATCCATCATGATGACAATCTTGGTTTCCTTCTTCAACCTATCGGCAAGTTTTTTTGCAGCAGATTCACCCTCTCCAAAGAGTCTCATCCCGAGCTCTTCAGCAATCTCACGGCGGATTTGATCTATGTTAGGGTTTTGCGACACCACGACTTTAATAACCGTGCCAAATTCTTTGCTTATTGAGAATTGCCTCCCAAGTTCTTCCATTAACGTTGTTTTACCAACGCCACCCATACCGTAAATTCCAATTAACTGTTGATTCTCATCCCTCATCGCCTTCAGGACGTTGTCCATAGCTTCGATGGTCGAGCTGAAAGCCATGAAATCACCTGCAGGCATTGATTCAATGGTAGGTGGAGGTGGAAGTTGAGACACTTTTTCGAATTTCCCTTTCTCTTGGAGCTTTTCAGCATCAAGTTTTCTCTGCGTAGCTTCTTTCCCAAGCTTGTAACGTGAAATTAAATTAGGATATAATCTTCTGAAGCTTCTTTTGTTCTCTCTAACCTCTGCTAACATTGTATTTACTGCTTGTTCGAGTTCGCTAACTTTTCTTAGCCATGAAGTCACTACTTCATCTACCACTTCTCCATTTTTCTCAGCTGCTTCGGTTCTTCGTTGTATGTCATTTTTTAGGCTTCTCAAATCTTCGAAAGTTTCTTGGAGATTATTAACCTTCTCTTTGTAGTGAACTAGATAGCCAAAACTGGACTTCAAACGAATAAAAAGGTAATTAACTGTATCTTTACCCAGTTCAGATGCTACACCGGTTCCGCTTTCAGACAAGCATGATAATGCCATGATGCCTGAAACGAATGAGCTAGATCAGATAGATTTAGTTACATAGCAGTAAATAAATAGATATTAATGTACTACCACTAACAAATGTTTGGGGTCCTTTTTTAAAAATTGTCAAGAAAAACTATGAGCCATTTTGAACTCTACTTTTTTGTTTGTAGGAGTACAAAAGTAATATGACTTTTGTACTACCATTATCACCACTCATACATCTATTCCTTTATACAAATAGGAGGATCAAAGATTCACTGTTCATGCTACAGTAGTATTTACTGCAGCAGTATTACTGCAGCTAATAATTAATAAAACATATTACTGTGGAACACGGGTATACTGTAGCATTTAAAGGGCACTGCAGCAGAGCCGGATACTGTAGCACTTTCAAAAATTCAAATCATGCCCTATTAAAAAGCGGGATTACTGTAGCAAAAAAAAAAATACCGTGCTTTGCACGGACCGCAAACTAGTCTAATAATTAAACAAAAGAATGGCTTTATTGTTCTCAGGGCATAAACTAGCTTAGTTATACCCTATGTAAAATGACCTAGTTTACCCCTCTTCTAACAAAAAGTATGGAAATCAATTGTCATTTAAGAAGCAAGACATGATTAAATTAATATTATGCAAATCTCGTGAGATTTTCTCTTGTTCTTTTGAGATATTAAACAGGTTCTCTCTCTCTCTCTTATCCCTTAGGACTCATTTCGTGTGAAATTAAAACAACCAGGATTGAACTTTAGCCTAATAATTAGGACCCTAGAACAATTAGTGGGGGGAATATTCATGTGTTTGGCATAAACATGTCAGAAGGGTGAAATTTTAGCACAGAAGGAACTCCACCACTCTCGAGTCAAAATATATAAATTACCAAAAGCCCCCTCAAATTATTAAGTTTATAAACAACCTCCTCAATAATCTAGCAATTATATAAAGCCTCATGTACAACTCAAAATTTGCAGAAAATGCCCTAGAAATTTTAAAATTTGCAAACAATTTTAAAATTACAAAAAAAAAAAACTTAAAATTTTCAAACCTGTAAAAAAGTACATCGAAAATATAGGCTTACAAACATTCCCCTAAAAGTTTTAGAATTAGCAGAAAATACTCCAGAAGTTTCAAAATTATAACTTTTAGGGTGTTTTTTTTTGTGATTTTCTAAACTTTGAAGGTGTTTTATACAAACTTCAAAATTATAAAATTTTCACTTAACTATTTGTATCTGCGAAATTTTTAGGCTATCTTTTATATATGTTTTATTTTTACGGCATTTATTGTAATTTTTTAAACTTCTAGGGTGTTTTTTGCAAAGTCAAAATTTTTAGGGTGTTAATTGTATAAATATATTGTTAGGATTCTACAGTGTTTTCAAAGGCGCGCGCCTCACTGTGCCTCATGCGCCTTACGATGCGGGGTGGTGGCGAAGCACCCCACTTCTGATGCAGCAACGCTTTTTTGCGCCTCGCGTATATCCTTACTTTGCATGGTGCATGTAGTACATATCCTCATATAGTTTTGTTTGTTAACATTTCAATCGAGTCTTTATACTTGTACATATCCTCATATAGTTTTGTTTGTTAACATTTCAATCGAGTCTTTATACTTGATATTCCATATCCCAAAAAGCGTTAACATTTCAATCGAGTCTTTATACTTGATATTCCATATCCCAAAAAGCAAAATAAATCCATTAGGCATTTGTAGTAGCCTTCAATTGAGTACCATTACTAATCCTTTACTTGGATATTAGTCTTGATTTAACATTTGATTTGAAAATTTATGAATTTTGCTAATATGTTGGGTGTTAGCATTAGAAATTAAGGCATTATATTGTGATTTTGTAGTAAGATATTATTTATCATGATATTTTTTATGTGAATTCTAAGAACATGTTCTTTCACGCTTGATTATATATTTTGAAAAATTATGTGGGCGGTGTGCACCTCGCATCACTCGGGCGCGCACATCGCGTTGCGCCTTGCGCATGTACGTGTAAAGATGATTTGCGCCCCGCATTGCGCCTCGCGCAATGATAACACTGGGATTCTGTTTATGGATTTGAATTTTCAAAGGTGTTTTTTGTAAATTTTGAAGTTTGAGGGCATTTTTTGTAATTTTCAAAACGTCCAGGATGTTTTCTGCAATTCTAAAAATTCTTGGGGTCTGTTTGTTATTCCAATATTTTATATTTACCGTTCATAGAAATTCTTAAGGTGTTTTTTTATAAAATTTAAGGGTTTTTTACAATTTAAAAAGATTTAGGGTATTTTCTGCAAATTAAAATTTTTTAGGAGGCTGCTTGAAGCTCCTAGATTTCTATATACTATTTGTGACGTTTTAAAATTTGTTGGTTTTTTGTAAATTTAAAAAGTTTAGGGTGTTTTTTATGTTTTTTAGAAAATTTAGGGTGTTTTCTACAAATTTTAAGTTTGGCCAGGGGCTATTTATATATTTTGAAATTCTTATTTTTTAAAGTATGAAATTTTTAAAATTTTTCATAATTTTTACTGAGTTTTACATTATTAATGATGTTTTTATAATTTTCTTTTGGGGGAGGGGGTGTTTACAATTTTTCACTTTACTAGGAATCCTGTCGATCTTTAGATTTCAGGAGGCTTGTTATATGTTGTAGAACTCTTTCGAAGGTTTCTGTAATTCCACATGTTTAAATGACCAAGTAGTCGTAGGGGTGGGCGTGAGCCGGTTCAAACTGCAGGTTAAATCGGCTCAGCCTGCCGTTAGTCAAGACCCGACCCAGCCAACTGTGAGCTGGAACCAACCCGCCTCATGATATACCCGGGCTGGGTGGGATCTGCTCTGAACCCGTGAACAGAAAAATAGGCTCGGCCCACGCTTGTTCTAGCCTACATTCGACCAGGCAAGGTCTGACCCGGTCCGGCTCATTTTAGGTGATAGCTATACTTTGATTTTCTTTAATAGCAACTCAATTAAAAAATTATAACCTCCATATGTTTGAATTGTAATTTTAGTAGTAGTGTATTTTCTAAGTTTTATTCAGTATTTTAATAAATATGTGTAATCATTTTGATTTACTGAAAATGCTCAAATTTTAGTGAATCTTTGGTCCTTAAGATAATTCCATCACCTATTGTAAGTTTATATGGTTTAGACTTTTTAAAAAGATAAGATATAGGTTATTTTTTTCTCTTTAAACTATACATACTAATCTAGCAAAAAACATGAAAAAAAATCGAAAAGAAAAAAAAAATGCGGGCTGACCCGCGACCCCAACCGTCATAGGTCGGGTGGGGTCTAACCCCAAACCCAGGGACAGAGTCCTTGGCATGACCCGTTGACACCCATCAGAGCCCCGGTCTGAAGCGAACCACACCAAAAGTGTGAGGGCCGGTTCAAGGGTCAAGCCCAGCTCGACTCAAGCCCACCCCTATGACAAAGTCTCAACTTTTCACTCCTTTTTCTCCTACCCATAACTTCATTAAGGGTCTATCTTCATAAAGTATTAAACTTTGTTCTTGGTAAAGTTTAAGAAGGATAACAAATATGGATAAAATAGGAAAATCTTTAAAGGGTAAATTTTAAATGTACTAGACAAGCCTTTAGCACAATAAGAGAGAGCCCTAAAATCAAAACCCCAAAGTCCTCTCTTGAAAGTCTCTCTTGAAAGTCCATGGGAGTTTATTGCAAAATGCTGGAAGTTCTTTTTTCTCTGTCAACAATTTTGGTAAACAGATCACCAGCGTTCTAAAAAGAAAGCCTATAATACACACATATGAAATGCAATCTTTGCCACATTCTATTTTAGAGCACGATGAAGATAGAACATATACAATGCGAAAATTTAGCCAAAAACTATGAAAAGTAATGATGAAGTACCTATAATCTGGAATTTGCCTTCAACTTGCAATGTCTAATTTCGAATATTAGGTAACTTCAACTTCATAAACAACGTACTAATATTATAATGAATTTTTTTGGCCTACACCCTTTCTCATCAATCCTTTATAAATCTCTTTTTTCAAGCATAGCTGCTGTAGAGAAATCCCATTGTCCTAAATTAACTATTCTTATCCCATTAAGCAAATTTTTTAAGGCTTCAGAGTAGAATACTCATCTGCAAACTTGATGATGCTATGCAAACTTGATGATGCAATTAATCCTAAAACAAACCAAAGTGGATATGGCTCGTGAATGTGCTATTTACTGATTAGGGAATCTGCGATCCAATCAACCTCATAAACTTACATAAAAGCATTTAACATAGAACAAGAAGAAAACTAAACAACATCGATCCTCAAAAGACCAACCAATTACAGCTAGTTGGGTTGTTAAATACAAGCTTACAGATTTCTTCCAATTCATCTAATTCGGGATTAAAAACAAGCTATATCACCTCAGAGGAAAGATTTCAGCATACCTCAGAGATGGAGATGACTTCTTTTGTGGAGGAATTAATTTCCTAAATATAAAGACCTAGACGAGACTTGAACACAGGGAGAAGTAGGGATGCTGACTTGAACACCAAGAAAAGTAGGGAGACTTGAATGAAGCCACATGGAATCAACAGCTGTATGTTTACAATAATTAGTACACAAGAAGCACTAAAGTTGTTGGTTACCTTTGTAATTCTATTAGAAAGCTAATATAATCTACAATTCACGGCACAGAGACATTTGTATGGAAAAAAAATGAGTAGTTTAAGTACTTGGTTTAAAGTTACATTATATATCTAACCGCTTAGAGCAATCTCTGGTGAGTTACAGCAAAATATAGTAACCTACACGATATAGGAAATTGCTAGAATACAAACTAGGATTAAGAATAATTTGGTGGGGTATTTTGAGTACGAGTGACGTTTTGGATGTAGGTGAGGTTAAAGATTAGATGAGGGTATAAACCAAAAACTTTGGCTAATAGGCAAAAAGCCTTTTTTCGGAAATGGGGGAACTTAAAATACAAGTGAGAGTAAAACTTTGGGTTTATGGCCAGAAAAATCCATCTACAATTCTTGTCACGGTCCTAATTTTCGGACCTCAAAAGAAGATTGGAGCTGGACTAAACTTGTTAAAATCTTCTCCAAAAATATACATTTATCAAATAATCATCAAAATGATTTCATCATATGAGTTAATCCAACAACTATTGTTCTCCATAATCTCAAAATTCAACATTACTCCGACTAAGATTTTATATATTTAATTCCTGAAATTGAAATAAATTTAACCTAAAGAAGAATATCTCATTATTACAAAAACTTTCTGTTGGTATGATTCAAATATTGATACACAAATTCAAACCGAATTGAACTCAGCACCAATAATCTTTGGCTTGGTCTTGTTTTGACGGAGAGCTACGTGCAGTAGGATTTAATCTCCTAACTGTTGGATAAGAACATAGTTCTTATTAGTTGGGTCATTTGGTGATAAGATAGCTAAGCATATTTCAAATCGGAGTTATTAGTTTGAAGATAAGGTCAAGGAGATAGGAATTGTTATTTGATGAAAGTCCCAAATACCAACCGAGACTAGGCAGTATAAGAATAGACCAAAGTTCTTTCTCGAGAGAGGATGCAACACCAAGAAAAAGAACAGGGGGTTCTTTGTTACGGCTGTAGTTAAATAAATAAACCTTTCTATTTGTTGCTCTACTTAATTAGAGATTGTGAGAGAGATTGATTGACATTATTGGGGTGTTATTTGGGATTGAGTGATTGAGAGATCCACTTTGTATTCCTCACAATTTAGTAAAGCTATTCTTCTCCTTCGCGCGTGGACGTAGGCTACAAGCTAAACCACATATATCTTTTGTGTCGTGTGTTCTTGATATTTTTCGTGCTTTCGTGTGATTGATATTAGTTTATCTTGGTATTTGTCATAACAAATTGGTATCAGAACCCTCAACTATCAATCAGACGAGAAGCTGATGACAACCACTATGAAGTAGGATATCAAGAAGTTTAATGACAATATCTCAGTCTTTGACAAGTTAGGATGATCATCGTGTTGACACAGAGCGGAGTGAAGAAAGCTTTGTTCGGGAAGTTGAAGAAACCGGCTACTACGATGGAGGAAGATTGGAACAAGTTGGATGATAGATCTCTCACAGTGATCTAGTTATGTTTGACAAACGAAATTTTGTAAGAAGTTCTCACGGAGAAGACCGCCACTTATTTGTAGTCTAAGTTGGAGGATTTTTATTTGACGAAGTCGTTCACTAGTCGCCTCCTCTTGAAGTAACGTTTGTACGCATTTCGGATGTCGGAAGAAACACCCATCAAATCTCATATTGATAAATTTAATTCTATGATTATAGCTTTGAGTAAGATTGATGTTAAAATCGATGATGAAGATCAAACCCTACTATTATTGTGTACTTTGCCGCCTTCCCACAAGCACTTTAGGGATAATATGATTTACGGTCGAGATTCTAATGACATCAAGGACATCAAAGAGAACTTCTTGAATAAAGAGAAGATTGACAAAGAGTTAACCACAAAAGAAAGTGTCGATAAAGCTGATGGCTTGTTTGTTCCAGAAAGGAAGAAATGGGCTTTTGAGGTAATAGGTATAAGTTAAAGCACATGAATCTAACCTGCAGATATTGCAAGAAGAAATGGCACATCAAGACCGATTGTTACAGATTGAAGGACAATAATAAATAAGAAGAGTATGAAGAAAAATCAATGGAGGACTCCGCTGAACTTGATATTACTGAAGATTTGATTTTATTGGCTACAGATGATATAAAAAGGAGCATGGATGATTAGGTTTTAAATTCGGACTGTTCCTATCATATGTGTCCTAATCGGGACTGGTTCACCATTTATGAAGCCATTGATGGTGGAGTTGTTCTTATAAGAAACAATGCCTCATGCAGGACTGTTGGAAAAGGTACAATTCGGATTAAGATGTATAATGGAGTCATCGGGACTTTGACTGATGTTAGGCATGTTATAGGTTTAAGGAAGAATCTCATCTCTTCAGACACTCTTGATAGACTTGGGTGTAATTTTATTGGTGAATGTAGAGTTCTTAGGGTTACAAACGGCTCTCTTGTGGTTATGAAAGGAAAGAAGATGGGTGGCTTGTATATTTTGCAGGGTTATACCGTTACTGGTTCAGCTGTAGGTGCATCGTTGATATTAGGAGCTAATACTACCAGACTATGGCATATGAGACTTAGTCATATGAGTGAGCGCAGATTAACCGAGTTGAGAAAGAATGGTCTTTTATGTTGAGTATAAAAAAATTGGAATTCTGCAAGCATTGCAACTTTGGAAAGCGAAAAAGAGTTAGCTTCAGTACGGCAGTGCATCAGACTAAAGGTAATTTGGATTATATCCATTCAAATCTTTGGGGCCATCTCAAGTTGCATCGAAGGGTGGTAGTTCAAGATATTTGTTGACCTTCATTGATGACTACTCGAGGAAGGTTTAGATCTACTTTTTGAGACATAAATATGAGGTGTTTGTGACTTTTAAGCAATGGAAGTCTTTGATTGAGAAGTAGACCGGAAGCTGATTAATGACCTTGAGTTTTGTGGAGGAGCATTTAATGAGTTTTGCAAGAAGGAGGGAATCGTTAGACATCTTACAATCCCTCACACACTGCATATGAATGGAGTGGCAGGACATATGAACAAAACCCTATTGGAGAAAGCTCGTTGTATGTTGTTCAATGCAGGTTTAGGTAAGGAATACTGGGCAGAAGTGGTGAATACGGCTTGTTACGTAGTGAATCGGTCATCATCTACTGCTATTGCTTGTAAAACTCTAGAGGAGATTTGGTTCGGTAAGCCTGTGGATTATTCTAATCTTAAAATATTTGGTTGCCTTGCAACAGAATGGAGTGGCAGAACATATGAACAAAATCGGAGAAAGCTCGTTGTATGTTGTTCAATGCAGGTTTAGGTAAGGAATACTGGGCAGAAGTGGTGAATATGGCTTGTTACTTAGTGAATCGGTCACCATCTACTGGTATTGCTTGTAAAACTCCAGTGGAGATTTGGTTCGGTAAGCCTGCGGATTATTCTAATCTTAAAATATTTGGTTGCCCTACATATACGCATATTAGTCAAGGAAAACTTGAGCCGTGAGCGAAGAAGTGCATATTCCTATGTTATGCATCGGGTGTTAAGGGTTTTAGGTTGTGATCATGATCCGAAGTTTCCTAAGATTATTATCAGCTGTGATGTTGCTTTTGATGAGTCTGCTATATTCCACCAAAAACAGACATCATTTTCAATTGATGATAAGGCGCACTATGTTTGCGGAGAAAATTGTTTGATTCATTGCGGTGTTCATTACAAACTTCAGACGTTTACAACGAAAATAAAAATTAGTCTTTTTATAAGACCTTTACACAATGAAAACAAAACAAAAGTACATTTCTCTTCAAACAGCGCAGAGATCGTTTACCGGTCTTCTGCTTGCGTGGGATCTTGGCCTGTGACGGGGACGTTGATATCCGTGGATCACCGTCGATCAGATCTGATTGCTAAAAATTTGGGCAGAGCTTCGTTGATTCGCGAAGAAATCAAGAAACAGAAACACTTATCTCGGCAACGGCGAGATAAGTGCTATTCTTAAGATTATCGCAACGGGATAATCTTAAGGAACGGACACGAGAACTGCAGATCTGACGAGCTCTTCTTCTTTATGCTGACGAACTCGATCCGATCTCTCCTCCTCTCTAAAATTCGTACACCTTTAATCTTCAGTCCGGCAGGGCTTCGCCAACGCTCGAGAATTCCAGATCCTCCAAAAATAAAATCCTGGGGCTATATTTATAGGCTCCAGGAAGTCCGGGCGGTTAAAACCGCATAACGGCCAATTTTTTAAGGCTGGAGACACCCTTGGGTGTCTCAGCCAGGCCGAGACACCCGGGTGTCTCGGTTGGGCCGAGACACCTCGGGGTGTCTCAACTCAAGCTGAGACGCTTCGTTTTGCACACTTGTCCGTTTCCGCCGTAACTTCTTCATCCGAACTCGGATTTGAGAGATTCAAAGTGCGTTGGAAAGCCGGCGAGGAGTTCTATAAGCTCCGATGATTAGATCATTGTGGATTAAGCTGGGGTACGAGCGGTGTTTCGCCCTTTGTAAGCGACGTGGGGCTCCCGATCAGTTCGTATCTTCGTTATTCTGAAACTCCGTTACTTCACGTAGTTCGTCGATTCACTTTAAGCGTTCGTCGACGTCAATCAAGCTTCTGTGACTTAGATAGTGACGTTCATCGTCTTTTCTTAGCTTTGAGCTGCTCGTGGAGACCTATAGGCAATTTTCAACGCCTACAGATACCCCCTCCAAAGCGTTCCAGACTCGTTTCTTTTATAGAATAGGCTGGAATACTTTGGATATGATTGGTCCAGCCTTCGGTCGGCGTAAAGGACCTGTAGTTAGCTTCAATTCTTGACTCCTCTGATTTTCAATCTATTCGATGCGTTGACGAACAGCTAAAGTTTTTCCGACGCTGCGTTTATCGTCTGGCCGTCATTAGAGTCTCCAATCTAAAACTGATGAGTTGAGTTTGGCTCGTGTCATTGAGTTGACTTAGAACTGACTATCTCCGTCGCATCGTGCTAACTTAGGGTTTCAGATCGTCGTACGTTGACTTTTTGTCACAACGCGTTGACCGGCGTTGACCTAGGATTTCGGATGGCAGCGCGTTGATTGGCGTTGACCTAGGGTTACGCGTTGACCGGCGTTGACCTAGGGTTTCGGATCGCAACGCGTTGATTGGTGTTGACCTAGGGTTACGTACGCGTTGACCGGCGTTGACCTAGGGTTTCGGATCGCAACGCGTTGATTGGTGTTGACCTAGGGTTACGGATCGCAACGCGTTGATTGGTGTTGGCCTAGGGTTACGCGTTGACCGGCGTTGACCTAGGGTTTCAGATCGCAACGCGTTGATTGGTGTTGACTTAGGGTTACGGATCGCAACGTGTTGATTGGTGTTGACCTAAGGTT